AATACTGATTATAAATGGAGTTAATTTTTTAACAAAACAGGCCAGTCTTCAGATCAGTCTATTCCATCTCTTAAAATAGATGTGAGTTATATTTAAAGTCCCGACGCACTACGCCGGAGAAATTTGAAAACGCCGTTTTCACTCTCAAAATGCATCAAATGTTTTTAGTCCAGACTACGCCGCAGATCTTTTGACAAAGCAACAATCACCGGTCATTTTGGATTTGTGTTTGAGGAAAAGTTGATCTAAATTATCCGATTTGCGGTAGTCTCGATATATTTACTTTTCGGAAATTCCCATTTGCTCGAATCTCTTGAACTGTGCAAAAGCGAGTAAAATTGGAGATGAAATAGTCATCGCCCGTCATTTCCTCCCCTGGTGAACTCACAACTCTGATTCCACTCTTTTGCATCCCTGCAATCAACGTTTTGAAAATCGTTGGGGCAACTCCTAAACATACGTAGTTGTTCGGATATAAATCTTGTGAATTTTCCCTCTAGAAACAAAATTAACAATTAGGCCCTTTAATTGTTTAATGAACCTTCTATCTAACAGTAAGTTCAGTTCCTGTCGCTATCACGGAGTTCCATTGATCTCGCTCGTATAGTCTAAGAAAGAACGCCTCTTCAAATTAAAGCTAGTTTTCAGAGCAATTATTTTCGCATGCTGTTTGCAATCCAAATTTGTTTAGCTCTTGTGAAAAATGTTTTACCTCTTGTGTAATTTAAATGCTTTATTCAACAACACAAAATGTGAAATTTACCTTGGGCTATTCATTTTTCTCATGTTTGTGTTTTACTCTAACAAACATGGATAAACATGGTCCAAAGATTAAGTTGGCTTTGTGCGCCTCTTAGTTAAGTTAGCTTCATTCGTTTGATAATTCGTTCGTTCGTTCGTTCGTTCTCTCCCTCGCTCGCTGGTTCGTTCGTTCGTTCGTTCGTTCGTTCATTCATGTTTTTATTCGTTAGTTAGTTCGTTCGTTCATTCGACTGACGATGGCTCATTTACTGGCTTACTTGAGTGTGTTCCTCTCTTCCTTCATTTATGTGTTCGTTGGTTCACTCCCAGGCTTGCCCGTCTCAATACCTCTATTTAGAGATAAACAAATAAATAAACAAATAAATAAATAAATAAATAAACAAATAAATAAATAATGAAACCTTTCACGTTATACGGCCAGTCGCACATCTTTTTCTCTGCATTCCACACAAGTCCCGTTGGACAAGGTCTTCTGTAAGTTATCCCTCCCGGAGAACAGGTGATGTATCCTGACGGGTTATCAGGATCTGCGTAATCTCCATCCTCTTTTCCTTTGCAGAAATCTTTAGAGATAAACAAATAAATAAATAAATAAATAAATAAATAAATAAATAGTGACATAAGTTTTAATTTCAAGTTTAGATCTCATGGAATGGAAGTATTAGTGATATTAAAGTTATATATTTGATCTACAAAATTCGCCCAAAACATTATTTTCCTTAGGCATAAAAACACCAAAAAAAATAAAAGGGCCAAAAAGTAATCAACAGTGGTTTCCAACGTTTGTTTCGGACGTTAAATTTTCAAAATGCAGGTGGCTCTGAACCCCATCTACAGAGTTTTTTTAAACTTTGCCACAAGTTGCATATTATCCTCCTTAACAAAATGAGATGATAAAAAATTAAAAGGGTTTCACCGTGCCGTTTTTGAAATATAAGTACTTAAAACATAAATTAAGGGTGTTTTTAGCAGGTCACACTTTTACTATGGCAACCCATTGTGCCGCGAAAACGATACCAACGTGCTCACTCACCAATGATTAGGCGGTTTTTGATGACATGATTGTAGCATCAACAGATAAAGAGTGGTGATAATAACATATCAAAATAGACGTCTTGAAATGTGCTGGGAACTGTTTTGAGCCACCTTAAGTCAGCACAATTCTTAATTCTGTAGTTATTTAAGAAAAGTACCTACTTTCGCAAGCTCGTTACTTTTGGAATTTCGCTATATCTGAGGAAACTAAGATTACCCACTCTTGCAAGTTGCTTACGAGTTGCTCGCTGACAGTAACTGCATACTTGAAGATTCAACTGGGCCCAGCTGTTGACTGCATTTCCCGAGAACAGAAGATATTACCTGACACATGAATACATTGCTAATAGCT